GATTATTCCTTGCTGACCGGACTTTTCCTTTAATCAACACCGATTAGAGACGCAACAAATCCAAACAGCTACAGACCCACTGGAGTGAAATGATTTTATTGTTGAAGTAGAAAAGTCTCTAAAGAAAAAAGCTACCTTTAACTGTGGTCCAATCAGTTTCAATAAACTCTGGTAGGAAATGAATAAACGATGATGCTGCTCTTTGCTGCTGTCCTCTGCCAGCGCGCTGAAGGTCCTTCCATCCTGCTGGTGTTACTGGATGAGTTTGGGTCCATTCAGCCCCGCTGGTCACAGCTCTATGTGAATTATTCCTCTGACTATAAACGGGACCAGATTCAGGGACGGAGCTTTTCTCTTGCTGTGGTTTCCCGTTGGATGCCGATCATCATGTCTTTTGTTTACCACAGAAATTAGCACACTTCTTTATGTTCTTAATCTTGACAGCAGAAAGATTTGAGTCATTCTTTGATATTTTCAGACACTTGGATCCACTTTAAAAAGTAAAAACTTATTATAAAAGTTCTACTTTAGTAAAAGTTATTTGGGGTCCCGCTAATTATTGGGATTTTGTAAAAAAAAAAATCTAATTTTTATGTAAATAAATGCTGTCAGATGACAGATAACTGATCTCTGGTTCCAGTATTTCTTTTTTTTTTTGCTTTCTGATGCATCAGCATGACTGTCTGATCTCTGGTGTTGCTGCTATTTCACATATCTACTGTAAAAATGTCCACAGCATATTGATTATTTAATATTAGGGTTACTGCACAGTATTTATATTTGTAAAAACAATTCAATTCAGTTTATTTCTATAGTGCAGTCCACCAGATCATCCAGTCCAATTGATTAAGTCCTCTATCTAAGGAAAACCAGTTGATTGCATCGACTCGAAGGCAATTCCTCACACCAAACATTCTTGTAGCTGAACTGAAATCGAACAGATAGATCAGATTTAAACCAGTCTAGTGCTGCTCCTTTAATTCCAACAAAATATTCAAGTCTTTCTAAAAGAATATTATGGTCAACTTTATCAAATGCAGCACTGAGATCCAACAGGACGAGCACAGATACAAGTCCATTATCTGAGGCCATGAGAATATCATTAGTGACTTTCACCAGAGCTGTTTCAGTGCCATGATGAGCTCTAAAGCCAGACTGAAACTCTTCAAAAAGTTTATTATGGTGGAAGTCTGCCTCATGGACCAAAACTGGTAGTTGGTTCCACAGGAGAGGAGCCTGATAACTAAAAGATCTGCCTCCCATTCTAAGATCAACGATGATCTTTAGATTCTGAACTTGTTTTGCATTATGTTTTTTTTCCAGCTGTTAACGTTGCAGCGTACTGCGCTGTTAAATGGTCATTGTTCTGTCATTCCGACACGCTGATCTATTATGATCAATAAATACCTAGTTATACCAGCATGACAATGAGCTAAAATAAAAATAATTTAAAAGCAGTTTATTTTTTTTTACCTGTTTAGACTGTAGATTTGTATTTATTTTATATAAAATCAAGAAAAAAGAGCAAAAATTTCATATTATCTGACTCATTCATACTTTATTATGAAATGACCACAACAGAGAGACTAACTACTGAGGATCCTTTGAGCTCCCACATGCATTTATTAGAATATTAGATTTCCATATGTTCTGCCTCTGGGTGGAGAACTTCCTTTATATTCAGGGTTTGTCCAGCTTCATTGGTAGATTATGGATGGATACCTAACTTTAGCAGCATTGAGTCTCTCAGCGGCTCTTCTTTGGTGTTGTAAAGTCTTTATATCCTCATTTATATAGAGTTAATGATGTAGGAAACATCCAGTCCTTGAACCACGGAGCAGTCTGTAATGATCATTTGGTTTATCCTTTAGACGGCTGATAGCAGGCAGGTTCATAACGCATCTATGGTCAGAGGTCAGCCAAGGCTCTGGGGAGGCAAACAAAATGTAGGGAAACATGTTTAAAGCAGGCAAATGTCTGGTTCTGGTTATAGGTCATCCTTAGAACCAAAAACCCATTAAAACAAAAAACAGAACTAATAGATTTCAATGCATATCGCTGCAGACATTTAGCTCGGCGTCAAAGTATTTCTAATTCGTTACTTGACACCTTTGATGAAAACTACATAGAGCTGCAGAATTTGTTGTTTGTTTTCTGGCTCTGCTAATGCTACAAAGCACTAATTGTTTGTTAAAATTTTGCTCTCAATTCGAGATAGTTTGGCTAATTTATTCCCACATTTTTTCATCATGAGCAAGGGTCAACTTTGGGAAAACTATGCAAAACGGGTTGAGACAAAAACAAAATGTTTTTTGCAAATCCTGCCTTTTGCTATTTATTTTTTTTAGGATAAAAATGTTCTGCCATGTTGACAGTATATCAGTGCACCTGTGTGTTTGCTGGAGGTTTTGGAGCTGTCTGCGTTTCACCCATCGGCTCTTTTACTGTCCAGAGATCCAATGATCTGTTGAGGCAGCTGAGAAGAGACAACTGAGTGAGGAATTTGTCAATGTTTGTAGGATTTCAGGAAATTTGGAGTGTTCTTTGTGTTGCAGGAAACCTGACCTGCATCAGGGTTCAAGCTAGAACTTCTCTTTCTGGAGACTTTATCCGCTTGATGGATGGATCTCTGTTTCCGGTTCCTTTTCCATGGGGAAGAGCTGGGGAGGGCTGGCAGGAGAAGCCTGGAGATGTGCTGCTAATCATTAATAAAGGCATGTTAGTAAATTATTCCTTTGGAAAAATCTTCCTAAATACAAATAATTTCACCTTCAGTCCTGCTGTTTTGATTTGGGGCTTTTTACATAGAAATAAACCAGAAAAATCATAAAAAAAAATCTCTTCACAGATTTTATTTAATAGTTTCAGTTTGTTCAAATTTAAAGACATATAAATAAAATAGAGTATAAGTTTTATTGACCTAAGTCTGTTTTAAAAAGGAAGAATATCTTGAAATAAAGTTAATCATTTCATCTTTACTCGTCTTTTCTCTCCGTTATTTAATACCCTAAAGGAAGTAAGAGATTTCTCTTTTATTTTCTTTATTGCTTTTACATATTTTTATATTGTTTTCATTCATTTTGAGTGCATTTCATAGTGTTTGTATGTCTCCTTTTGTGCAGCACTTTTTTTTATGGTGTTATATAAATGAAGCTGGATTGTTTCAGACTGAAATCTTTTTAGGATTTTAACATACAGCGGGGGAAATAAGTATTGAACACACCACCATTTGTCTCAGTAAATATATTTCTAGAGGTGTTTGTTTTTACCAGATGTTTTCCCCCATCCATGCAATCCACACATAAAACGAAATCAAAAAATAGATGTCCAGGAATTAAGTTATGTGTTACGATGTCAAATGTCACCAGGGAAAAGCATTGAACACTTTGAGAATTACGAGGTGCAAAAAGGCATGGAAAGCCAAAACACCAGCCCAACGTCCGCCTTACTCCTAAATCCCTTAAGTTCCTGATGTTCCTAACAGAGCACTTCGCTCTCAATCTGCAGGTTTACTAGTGGTTCCTAGAATTTCTAAAA